ATATGTATGCATGTATACTTTTTTATTAAAAAAAATTAATTAAAAAAACTATTTTTTCCATAACTTTTTTTGTTTATTTAACTGTTTGTGTTTTTTACTCTCTATTCAGAAAACCTTTCACAGATTTTTTTAATTTTATCTTTACTCGAAAGATATTTTAAAATTAATATTTAGTAATGCTTTATTCATAGCTGGCGAAAATCCTTGTAGCTATGTATATACTCCTACCGGGTGCCGGCTGGGCAATGGACGTCGCTGCTGGCTTGTGCTGGTTTCTAGGGTAGGTCTTGATGATGTGAGCAGGCGGCGTCTAACTAAAGCCGCACATACATATGGATACACTCTACTCTTCCTGGTAACATGCTTTGAATATTACACTGAAGAAGAGGGTGTATATCTACTTCTGCTAATGAGTTACCAGGCGGTAGGTATAAAACACTAGAAAGAAAACGGGCTGACATATCAGCCCAAACATCGAAGGGAGAAGTGGCGGCCACTCCTCTGCTGGGAAGAGAGCAGTTCACGGTAGTTGCAGTGCTACAGCCAAACCCGCTTTGCAACGTCGTGTAGGACCTCTCTGTCTGTGAAGACTCGGACCTCCAAACCGTTGAAAGCGTAAACACAGTGGTTCTGCTGCACTCTTCGAGAGATGCCAAAGGCCCTATGTCGGCGATAAAGACTAGGTCCAGTAAGAAGGGATTAAAAGCAAATTTTGTAGAATTTTTATGTACAAAGTTTGGAATTTTCCTTTTTTTCAACAAAAAATTGTCCAAACTTCACACAGTTTTAGGTTTTCTAGTCATAAGGTCGATTTTTTTAACTTCTAACATATATATCAGTAAAAGTTATACTTACAGCGTTTTCAATGGTATCTCAGAGAGCCTTCGGAATGCGTAGGGTGCGAGCTGCTCGATTGAACAAAACTTAAGAACACTAAAAAAAGAGGAAATGATTCTTGGTTAAAGCGAATGCAAATAACTGCTTCTATATAAGTACAAGACTACAAGGTATAAATAATGTTGAAAAAATATATAATAATATAAAAAAAAATAAATATATATATTATAATAAATATGTGTTTATATGATATAATATATATTTTACAAMMMAAAAAAAAAACCCAAAAAAAAGGTTTTTTAACTTTAACATGCATACATTTTATTAATTTTTCTTAAAAAACTATCTCACATAATATATTTATGTTTAATATTTAGCTATCTATGACTGTACATATACATATACATACAATACCATATGCTTGTGTGTGCATGTGTACTTATGTATGTGTATAAGCATGTTAACACACAGTTGTCTGAATATTTTCCACACGTTTGCTTCGTTGCCATAGCTTGGTTTTGTGGTTTGAGGGTTTTGTGATCAGAATTTACAATGCAAGCGAAACTAATTTAATATTAAATTTTACATTTTATTACATGGAGCATGTGGAAAGAGTACGAAAAAGTGATAAATGACTTTATGGCGAATATATTTTTTACAATAACCTTCACAAATTTACAAAAACTTACGACAGAACAAAATATTAAAAAAAAAATTAAAACTAAATTATAGAAAATTCTGTGCTACAACAAAATATGAAATAATAAAAAATATGTAATAATAAAAAGATATTTAAAAATGTAATAATTATTATTAAAAAAATATTGTGCTATTGCCAATTAAAAATCTTATCCTATTGTTCTCTTTATATTTTTTTAATATTAACCGAAAAAAGTATTAAAAAATAAAAAACTCT